ATATATTTATAACTCACGAAAATATATAATTAATAAGATCCAATGAAGGAAAAAAAGCATACAAAAACTATTTTACTGGAAAAGGAGAAGATAATATGAACAAATATATATAAACTTTGCTAACATATGGCAGTTGACTTATAACTGCTATATTTTATCAATAAAAATAATGACAAAGAATGGTCTCTTTCAACAAGATAAGAAGACAAATTGTAAACTATCATATGCAATTATTCATGTCAAAGATTTTAATTTAGTTTTAATGTTCATATTTGTTAATCTTCCCCAAACAAAAAACATTTCGAATAAACAAGACTAACTTAGATAATGAAGGTTTCTCAACCAATATTTTCATGCAATCTTTTTCACTATTACTTTTAAATATTATTTTTTCAACTTTCAATATATTTGACACTGTCCATTATGTAATGTACTTCTTGTGATTGATTAATTGAAAATAATTGTTCAAAAAATTAGAATAGATCATAAAAATATAAAAGACAAACTATAACTTATATAAGTAAGAAAATTGAAATCGATAATATTTTTCCTCATAATGCCCATAAAGTATAGAAATATTTTTTGTTTTTCAAAATAACCTATAAAAAAAGAATAAATTGTGTAGTAGTATGAGAACGGTTGAATTGTTATTTTGCAGCCTAAACTTCTAATATACTAAATTTCCTTTCTTAAAATAAGATTAGAACAATTTTATGAATTTGTATAAAATTAAAACCCATACTATTTATTTTCATGTCGAATGGAATACCACTTGAGCAATGATTTAATTTAGATCATATGATTATCTATAAATTAATTAAAAATATATGGATAATCATGATATGCCTATATACTTTGAAAATTAATTAAATTTTAACAATAAATAATCTCACTATATTACCATTACTCATCTATCTATTTATTTGTATTATTCACACAAAGCAATTTCTTATAAAAAAAATATTAAAATTTCGCTGTAACATGTTTCATTGGAATTTTATCATTTGTTTACAGTAAAAGTGACTCCAAATCAAATTAAACAATTTTGCACCATATATAATATTGTGTGCAGTTAACTATTTTGAAAATTATTGCCAGTGATACAAAATATAACATATTCATTGTATTTATGATTTAACTTATGATAATTAGTGTTTATTTTTTTAAAAAAGATATATCTAGGCTGAAAAAGTCCGTTTTTATTTATTAGTATTGTAATAATTAAACAAGAGGTAAGAATGATATTTTACGTATAAAAAAAAAGATAATACTACACAACAAGAAAGCTTATAGCTCACATTCCATCCAAAAGTAAAAAAATAATAATAATAATAATAAAATTAATAAATGTCCTATATCAATTGAAGCTAGCGAATGATAAATTAAAACATACTTAAGATGCATAT